ATGGCAGAAGAATACAGGTAGATGCATCAACGCTTAGGAGTATTGATATGTCAAAAAATTTAAATGTTTTTTCAAATTTGAGTAGATATTTTTTCTTATTCGTGTTTTCAACAATTTTTACAAATTTAAATAATTTTTATTCAACATTTTCAATTCCAAAATTGGTTTGACAGTTCATTGTCCCAGCAGCTGTGTCGATGCGTCTACATATATTCTTCTGCCATGTATACACTATAAAAACAAATAGTACGTTAACAAAATTTTTTGTAGCATATAGACATGGTAGAATTAAGAAGGTAAAGTCATGCAATCATATTTTTACAATTTTCTCAAAATTATTCATTTGACAACATCTCGTTGTGAAAATTTATATTTATAAATCCATTGCATACACAGAAATCAGAAATGGGAACCTCTTTTATTTCATTGAAATTTGACAAGGTAAATTGCAGAAAATGCAAAAATGGGTATGCTTATTTGCAATGACTTTACCTTATTCATTTTATTATTCGGGAAGCAAAATCATATTTTTGTGCGCACATTTTGAAGGGTGAAATTTTAATTTTTAATTTTAAAACTTGCATATTGTCAATGTTAGCATGAGATTATCTTATGTAATTATTCCCATGCCAAACCTATGATACAATAAATTCAGGATAACTTTATTTCAAATAGTATAATCCAAGTCTGCGTTATTTATAGTTTATATCGTCAAATTTAGCTCAATTGAAAACAATTCCAGAACCTGCAAGAATCTACTAGTTTCGCAATCATCTCCGATATTGTACATTTTGACAATGGGGGTATCATTTCATCACTACACAGTATGTCACATATTACTTTACACACTCTCAACTTTCTGTTTTTTTTTTTTTTTGCATTATTCTAATTCTGGATTGTGTTGTGTACTTTGTACATACTTTTGAGTACGGTTGAGGCGCTGGGAAAATCTAACAATAAACAATAAATATTCTAAAATTATGTATTTCCCAGCCGCAATAAAATTTCACATGTGAACAATTCGGTGATGCGCGGTGATGCGCTGACGCATACGATAATGTGTGAGATAATAGAGGTTATGACCCATACGCACAGATATCGATGCGCTCAGTCGATGTGCAAGACCACTTGAATGGAATGACAAGCAGCCCCACAATGTTAGAGAATAGAGTCCAATCTCCCTCTTCGATTGTCAACTCTATTTTGGATCCTGCTCGGAGGATCAATGTTTTCAAAAATGAGAATAGAATCCAATCTCCCTCTTCGAACGTCGTCGTACTCATATTCCCCGCATTCGTCGAACATGTTGGGGCCTTCTGTACGTGAATCCATTCGTTCTTCGCCGAGTGCTTCATTGGTCAGGGCGGATTCGACCTCGGAATTTCTTCTCTCATCTCGTTCTTCAAATTGAGGACTTGCCGGCGGGAAACACTTCACAATATTTCCTTCTAAGCAGAGAATCTGTTTTAGATTAACATCATCATGTCCCTCTCTTGCATTTGTCAGTTGTTTGAACAGGTCAAATATATAAATTAGACACTAAATTACAACAAAAAAATGAAAACTAGTACAATTTTTAGATGTCACAAAATACTTTACACAAATCACGTTTTTCGTTTATTTTTCCAAAAATTCGTCGAAAATGGCTCTATTTTATAGTTGTACTAGAAGTTTACGATAGTAAATTGCCCATGTGTCGATAAAAATAGGGTGCTGTATGAAGCGGGACTAACAGCCTGTTTTTTGTAAAAAAAAATTACTTTCACTCGAATTGTTCGTATTCAAACGGGTAATATGGTTTTTATAAAAAATTAGAAACTCTCGTCCATTTCCAAAAAGCTTTGATATGTCTGGCTTTCCATAACCATTATTTTATTAATTTTTTATTTTATTTTATGAGTAGTTGTGCTCATTGTGGCAATCCCAATAAATTCAAAATTTATCACAAATTTGTAATATAAAATTGAAAAATCTTTTTAAGTTAATATGTAATATTAGTTCATATATAAATTCCCCGCCATAAACATACAATTTTGGCGAGATTCTGCAAAAAACAGCCAATTTCTTTCTATTTATATCTACAAGGGAAAAAAGCTTTATTGTGTTTGCCACTCGTAGAAAAAACATGCACTACAAAAACCCAAAATATATTTTCTTTTGCCAAAATTCCAAACGAAAGGAAAAATACTCTTACAAAAACATGCTGTATGTATTATACTTTGGAGAAGTTATTAAACAAAATGTAACAACATATGGAGTAAAAGTACATAACAGATATCGAGAAGGGTTTCCGTAACACAAAAGATGGTGTACAATGCCATTTGTAGAAGAAATATGAATATTTAGCCTTATTTACACCTACACCTAATTTACAAGTTCTACAAAGATTCGTCACTTATTTGTGGGTGCAAGGTCTACGCATGGAAAATTTGATAGCACTTTTTATGAGTAACGAGGCCTGACAGTCTTTAAAACACAACACAGCTGGTACACACAACACAGGTGGTACAATGAACTGCGAAAACATTTTTGGAATTAAAAGTTTTGAATAAAAAATTATTTAAATTAGTTAAATTTGTTGATAAACGCATATCGTAACAGCCTCTGAGCGACATCGTAAATGATATATACGAAATAGTCTCAAAATTTCATTTTCTTGGGAAAGTTCCAAAAAATAACTTAAAACATTTTTGGTTATTTTTAAAAATATCTAGTTTTTAATAATTCCTTGAAAAAAAATTATTAAAAATCTGCTTTTAAATTGTTAACAAACATTGGAAAATTTTTCTGAAAACTGCTATGTTTAAACGTCTAAACGTGAGAATACATTAATGGTGAGAATACATAAAACTCTTTTTAGACTGACTTAAGCCATCGCCAGGCTTTTTCGGAAACGAACAAAGGAGAGTAGGGCTAAAATCGAACTAAGTCAACCTAACTCTTTATGTACTCTCACCTTTTAAAACCCACGTTCACAGCTGTGATACTTCTAATTCAGTGTTCCAGGGAAAATATTCTTAAAATTTCAGGTTTCAAAAAAAACTGGTAATTCTTGGAAACTTATTCTTAAAACTCCAAAAAAAAACTTTTTTAAAATTTATGATTATAGCTTGAAAACTATTTAAGTTTGTCAATAGATTTATTTCCAATCCAATAATATTTAAGAAAACTCCAATTTATGTCTCGAAAAAAAATCTAAATGAATAAAGAGCTATAAATCGAATAAAAATCCAGAGCTGTAATTCTAATGCACGCCACACACGATACAACTGGTTGTACAACTTGAAGAGGTTGTATTCAAGATTGTATCGGTTGTATAAAAAATCAAAATTTTTTGATATTTGGCAAAGTTTGTGGGCATGTCGCATACAATTCCATTTTGCGTTTATTTTTGAAGAGGCAACACCATTGTTTCGCACTTCAAAACAATACGAAATTAAATAAAATGTGTGATTTTAACGTATATATAAAATGGAATTTCAAAAATTAATAATAAATAAATAAACTAGTCTTTAAAAATACCTTTAAAAATAATCTGGGCCATAACTCTGATAGGCATGGACAAAAATATTTAAAAATAAATAAAATCTGATAGGATGTAAGAATACATAAAACGCTTTCTTTTGACTGGCTTAAGTCAATGGCTGCCTTCTTGGGACAAGAACAAAGGAACCGATGAATTAACCCAATCAAAAAAGCGTTTTATGTATTCTCACTATAAGTTCAGTAGACCGAAAAATGTGTATTCGAGGTGTTACAAACGGAATGACAAACATAATATTCGCTACATACTATGATGAAGGGTACAAAAAAAATTCAAAACTACTATCTTATCGAAAAAAGTAAAAAATACTTTTTATATCTTTAAAAGAAAACATCTAATGCCCCGAAAAAAATGAAAAATCGATTATGGGTCAAAAAATATTTAATATAATTGAATAAAGTTCCTTTACAGCTCGAAAATATATTATTCGAAATTGACGTTTTTAGCTCCAAACATATTCGGGCTATTGTATCGAAAAAATATTCATACTCAAATTCGAAAACTTGAAATAAACGTTGAATAATGTAGCTAAAATCCTCAAAATACCGTACATAGGTAGGTATCGTTACATCGGAGCTATACGAAGACCTGGACTTACATAGACAATTTTTTGTTACAGCCTGTAGCATCCATTACGAACTTTAAATATGACATCTCTAACAATTTCCGTGAGTATTGTACCTAAAAGTATATATATTCTTGATCAGCGTAAAATTATATGTCGATTTTGCCATGTCCGTCTGTCTGTCTGTTGTAATCACGCTATCTTTCGAATGAATTGAGATAGAAAGCTACAATTTTCCACACATGTTTATTTTGCCAGTAGGCAGGTTAAGTTCGTAAATGGGCCATGTAGGTCTACGTTTTCATATAGCCCCCATATAACGGTACCTCCCGATGTTCGGCATTATTCACTGGAATTGTTTCAAATTTGGTATTTAAAGTTCGTAATGAATACTACAGCCTATGACAGAAAATTGTATGTGCAGGTCCACGTCTTCGTATAGCACCCATAACGGCTATATTCGGTATTTTTAACAGAATTTTTAACATTTCCAAATTCGTTCCAAATGGTGGAGGTTATTCAAAGTTCGGCCAGACCGAACTTACAACTTATTTACTCATTTTTAATATATCTTCGTGGCAAAAAAAGTTTGAGTATATTGCTCCAAGACTATAATATATATACTACAAACCTATAAAACCTGAAAAATATTCTTAAAAAACACATTCATATTCAAAAAATAAGAACAGTGCTTTAAGAAAATATTGTTAAAAACTCCATTTTTGTAACTCTTATAATATTTAAAAATCTATTCTTCGGAAAATTATGATACAAAATATACTTAAAATATTCATCCTTTAAAAAAATTTTAAAAATTCACGATCGGAATATAATTTTGGAAACAATTAAAAAGATATAACATTGAAAAATATATTTCCCTTCAAAACTTACTTCTTGATATAAATTTTTACTCCGTAATTAAAATTAATTTTAGACTAAATCAAACTATGCTTCAAGAGGGCCAATTGTGTTTGATGTGGCAGCTAAGTTGTAACACTTTCAGTTTAAATACTTGATTATTTTTCACATTATTATGTAATTTTATTTTATAATGAGATATTAACACAAACGAATATATAGATCTTTGGTTATTTTCACAAATAAATTTTTAAAGAAATTTGTGTTTTGTATATTTTAATTTATTTTTTAATTTAATTTCAAATTGTGTATATTTTTCTTTAAAATTTAATTTATATTTCCACAATTTTTCACAATTTATTTTCCCAAAAATTTGTTTTTTTTTTATTCTCTGTAGCTATCAACTGGGTTTCCGTTATTTTTAAATTTAACCAACTATCAACGTTGAATTTCCGCTACAAACTGGCAGTTGTTGAGCTATATTTTGAATTTGAAACCTTTGACGAAAATGAGGCAAATCACAACGAATGGCAGATGCAAAAACAGAATCGAGAAAAAACAAGAGCCTGCGACAGCGAATACCATTGCAGTTGTGTGAATTGCACTCACTAAATATGTATGTGTGTGTGTGTGAGCGCTAGAGAAAAGGATTTTGTCTTTTCCCAAGTGATAGGACACAAAATCATCATCATCATCATCGTCAGAATCATCCTTCTTCTTCTTTCTCATCATTTCACAAGTACGATAATGATGTTCTGTAACGTAAGGGCGAGGGTAGGGAGGAGGGAAGGTTTCGAGAAAAAAAAAACTAGAAAATGTTGAGTTTTCACATTAAGTCATAATTTCCTTAGACCAACAGACATGGCAATGATTCAGTCTGCCACCCCTGCACCATCGAAAAAAAAGTATGTACCGAGAACAACTAAACCTAAAACATGTTAAGGTTAATGTTAAGTGCTTCTGCTTTTGATTTTGGTTTTATTTTCAAATCGCATTCATCAAAGACAAATAACAATAAAGCTGCGCAGGTTTACAAAGACTTGGTGAAAGTGTTACCTTGCCATTTCCCCAAAGGGGAAATCTTTGCAGAGAAGTTAACTTTCTGTGCCATGTTTGCCACATGCCAGACAGTTGTAACCAATGGGACACCATTGGGAATTTTAGTTTTTCCACAAGAACACTGTTAACTTGAAGAAATAATTACAAAAAAATACTAAATTCACGATTTGTTGAAAACGTATTAAAGAAAATGGCAGAAAAAGGCAGAGAGATAGATACAAACTAAATAATCTTCCCATATGAGGAATTTTTTAAAGTTGTAAGGAAATCAAGTCACAATAATGAGTTTATTGTCAAAAGAAGTCTGAAAATCTGAGCTTATATGGGAACTTTCCCAATCTTGAAGTTCATTATAGTTTAGTCCTATAATTTCAAAAAGTAGGCTAAGCATCAACCGAACACCCATTAAACATGTCGTGTAACTCACAATGAAACTGTGTATCTCTCCCTGATAAAAAAAAAACTGCAACAAACTCTAAAGCCATAATTTATAAATTAAAAAAAAAAAACAATTAAAAAAACATTAAGTTCGGCCGGGCCAAACTTTTAATACCCTCCACCTTAGGGTAAAGGAAACATTAGAAGAAATGTGGCGAAAACTATCAAAATACCAAATATTGGGAGGTACCGTTATATGGGGACTATATCAAAACGTGGACCTATACATACAATGTTCCGCCACACGAACTAGAACCCATTATGACCAACAAATACCATTTTTTAGACAAATCCGTGAAAAAATGTGGCAATAAAATTAAAATACCGAATATCGGGAGGTACCTTTATATGGTGGCTATACCAAATCATGGACCCATACATGCAATGTTTTGCCACACGCACAGGGACCCATTATGACCTACAAGTACCAATTTTCAGACAAATCCGTGAAAAAATGTGGCATAAATAATCAAAATACCGAATATCGGGAGGTACCGTTACATGGGGACTATACCAGAACGTGGACCGATATATCTCATTTTCAATACCAAATATCCTAGACACAATACAAATAGCTCTGCCTAATTTTGGCGCTCTACGTCAAATAATGTGGGCTGTATCGTGATTTCAACAGACAGACGGACAGACAGACGGACATCGTTAAATCGACTTTAAATGTTATGCTGATTATGAATATATATACTTTATGGGGTCTACGACGAATATTTAAGGATGTTATGGTGGAGGGTATAAAAAATGTCGGAAATAGCATCAAATTTTAGAATAAGTTAAGATTTGTTCGAATTGGTTACCTTTGGCACGAATTATGGCCTTCAAACGGCCAATGAAATTGTCGCACACTGCCCGAATGTTGCTCTGCGGTATTTTGGCCCAGACCCAGTAATCCAACGGATTGGTATCCGGAGATTTTGATTGCTATCGTGCGCTGAAAATGAAGTGAGAAACCTCATTTTGTAACAATTCGCGTGTTGAGTGCGATGGTTTAATACACCCTCCAGAATATTTTCGGTATAATATTCGGACTTTATTCTGATGCCACGGTCGATTAATTCGAGCGGAGAGCGACCATCGACTGTTGTGGCGGCCCACACCATTACCATGGCCGGCGTGGCCAACCGAAGGTGCACCGTGGCCAACCGAAGGTGCATATTTTCAGCTGACCTCTCTGACAAGTAAATATTTTGTTTGTTTACAAACCGCTGGACAACGAATGTTTTCGGAATGTCATCGGAGAAATTCGGCAGTTTGCCACTTTCGGCCAAGCGAAGCAACTCTTTAGTTCTTTTGAGTCTATTTTCTTTCTGTTGCGGTGTAAGTTCTTGCACTTTTTGGAATTTCAACGGCCTTACCCCGAGCTCATTTTTCAATATTTGCCTAAGGTAATATTGCGATATGTTCAGCTCACGAACCATTTTTCGGCCACTGCTACGCGGCTTTCGATCAAGTCGCTTCTTTATTTTTCAAACCGTTTCTGCTGATGTTGCTGTTTTCTTCCGTCCACTTCTTTGACGGGTCGGGCTACGCTACCAGTATTACGGTAACGAGCGATGGTACGAGACACAAAAGATTTATTAACATATAAATGCTGGAGTGCTCTAAGGATAGCCACTTGTGGTTTTCCAGGCAAATATTAAGAAATCACGCTTGAATTGCATCACGCATAAATTTTTCTCTGGAAATTATCACCAGAATGCTTTTTTACGCTTGTAAACAATATAATAAGCTGTCACTGGAATAATTTTAACAGCTGTCGGGCGAGTGGCTTTGAAATGACAGCAGTCTGAAGTTGGTTGCAATTTTTTCATCTCACCCTATACATATATATATATAATTTGATGTTCTACCTTTACAGGACGTTTCATAGAAATATATTTATACACAAATATGATTGCTTCTTCTATGCTGATGCTCAACTTTTCCTGCTGATGCTATGGTGAGGACAGAGTTTTCGTTCGGTGACTAAAGTTGGCGAGATCTTAAAAATAAAACAAGTACTGTAATATAAGCCTTTCGCCTGTGAAACACATCACACATTTCGGTTATGTTTGCACAAACCCATGGTAGAAGAAAACAGGTAGATGCATCAACGCTCAGAATATTGATATGTCAAAAAAATTTTAATGTTTTTTTTAAATAAATAAATAAGTTTTTTTATACGACGCCAATCGGAGGTTGTTATGATATTTGTACAAATTTTCAAGAATTGTACAAATTTCAATAATTTTTCATTCAACATTTTCAATTACAAAATTGGTTTGACAGTTCATTGCCCCAGCAGCTGTGTCGACGCGTCTACCTATATTCTTCTACCATGGTTTGCACAAACCCATACATGCTATTTACATTTCCTAGATTTATTTATTTATTTTTGCTTTAAACGCCTCTACATGTCCCTAAAAATTTTCTAGAGTTGCATTTTCGATCTAATTAAAATTGTATCCGGCTACTGAATTCACAAAGCAGTTATTATGAAGATGTTGGCAGCTGGTTTACCGGGGTTTTTATTCCTAAAGGCTTACTTAAATTTAAACGTCACTCGAGAGCTGTACAACAGCTCACACAAATCTATTTTTATATGTCACTTATATATACCAATGAATGCCGAATATAATAGGTTATTTATTATTATTTTTTAAATATGTCACTCGCCATACGTAAATATTTTAAATATGACTAAAATTTTTATTAAAAAAAAAACAGAGTCGAGTTCGTTGAAAAAATATTGCTGTATTCAATTTAGCAAATGAGTCTACCTCTATTGTTTTGTCATGTTATGGTGTCGCTCGTCCTATATCTTTTAAGTGGCAAATGACGCAAATCTGGAAAAAGGGATTTTTGTCTATTGAAAACCGTTATATGCCTTTCGTTTGGAACACCTTCCGATTTTCTCTCTATTCCTATTTTTTCTGTTTGTTTTTGCCGTAAATGCATCTACATGTCCCTACAAATTCTCTAGAGTTGCATTTTCGCTCTAATTTAATTTGTATCTGGCAACGCTGGAATTTTACTTGACTCTTATTATTTGACAGGGATAGTGAACGATTGTAAACAAAGATCAGTTGACTGACATTTTACATAATTTTAAACTAGTCTAAATAAGTTGGATTTAGAAATAGAGTCGACTTAAAATGGCTTATCCAAATAGACTATAACAGAAACTTAAATCATGTTTACATATACAAAATTCCATGGGCTTCCACATTCCAAGCATACCATAATCAATAGGTATTTAATTTACCTATGTTGATCATCATCATCTATTTATTCGATGTATATGAAAACAGGTACGGCGTAAATAAGGCTTTAAAGGATATAGTGCCTTTGCGACGAATATTCGGTGTGTACTATAATACTATATTTTGTAAAAAATGTTGTTAGTAACACAAAAGTCCAGTTAAAGAGAACGATTTTGACAGTTGAGTCACTGAGAGTTTGCAGAATCTTACGGGAAATTGTTTTTTTTTTTTCTCAGTAAGAATCGCCGATTAACATCAGCTGATTGAAAAAGCATCTGTTTTGTGGCCAATACAAACATGAGTACATATCTCATTTTCCAGTTAATACATATTAAACTTAATATATATTAAACCATTTTTGTACTAAATGCTAATATTTGATGAATTTTTTGGACAAAGCGGTGTGCATTCGAAAATATCGTAATGATTTCGCAAAGGATTTCGAGCAAGTCATCATAAAATCAAATGGATTAAGCACTTAAACCGAGATGTGGG